CCAAAGGGTCTCCCCGGGGCCAGGGTACTCACGGGCCTCTGTCGTCTGAAAGGCATGCAGGAGCTGGGCAATGGTCCTCCCTAGTTCCTCCTGGGTAGAGAGCAGCAAACACACGCACACATAAGAGAAAAGAACAACACTCTCTGACCCCGAGGACACGTGGTCTCACAAGCAGCAGCAGGAACAGAAAGACACCCGCGCTCCCCCCGCACGCCCCCTGCGCTCACGCACCCGAGAACCAGCTCCCGCCAGCCTCGCAACCCCGCGTGCTTCAGGTCTGCAAGCTGCACTGTTGTGAAAGGCCTCCTCCCGCAGCCGGAGCGGACAGCGGCGCCCCACAACCACGGGCAGCCACTGCCCCCGTGACCGAGGCCTCGAGCCACAGAGGCTGACAGTCGAAGGAGGGCCCAGGAGCGATGGGGCGCCCCGAGCAGCTGGGAGAAACTGGACCCCTAGAAACTGCTCGCTGCCTGCCTCTGTCACTGCGTCGCTGTGCAGGGCATCCCTTAGGGCACTTACTAAACAGACCATCCCAGAGCCGCCTTTTACTGCGCACTGAATACAGCACAGGACTCTGCGTTTTAGACGTACCCTCCCAGGGCACCAGGGTGGCTCCGTGGGTTAAGCCTCTGCCTTCGGCTCAGGTCATGATCCCAGGGTCCTGGGATCGAGCCCCGCATCGGGCTCTCTGCTCAGCGGGGAGCCTGCTTCCCCCTCCCCCTCTGCCTGCCTCTCTACCTACTTATGATCTCTGTCTGTCACATAAATAAATAAAATCTTTAAAAAATAAAATAAAGGTACCCTCACCACCCAGGTGATTTTGAAAAAGTGAACAATTCATTCTGACAACACTTTCAAAAAGGCCAGCATTCGGGGCACCTGGGTGGCTCAGGAGGCTGGGCGTCTGACTCTCGGATTTGGCTCAGGTCATGGTCTCAGGGTCGTGAGACTGAGCCCTGCGACAGGCTCCACGCTGTGCAGAGTCGGACTGGGATTCTCTCTCCCTCCCCGCCCCCATCCCAATGCACACAGGCTCCCTAAATCTTAAAAAAAAAAAAAAAGAAAGCTGGCATCTTGGGCAGTGACACAGCCCTGTGTAAGATCCTGTCCCAGGGGTGTGTGACAGCACACACCTGTCCAAACCCACAGAATGCACACACTCAGGATGAACCCGCACACCCACTATGGACTCTGGGGGTCGGTCTGTGCCAGGCAGGCTCATCACCTATAACGAATGCACGGCTCGGGGGTGGGGGGGGAAGGCTGTGCACGTGTGGACAAAAGGGCTGTACAAGAGCTTTCTGTTCCTTCCTCTTAATTTTGCTATGAACCTAAAATTACTCTAAAAAATACTCTAGTTTTTAGAAAATTAAAAAAAAAAAAAAGAAAACTCACAGGAGAAACCCTTTTCTCAACAGACTTGGGTTCTGTCCCTCCGCGTCCCTCATTTTGGTGCCCGGACACACACCCATCCGGATGGTGCTCCCTTAGCACCACCACCTACACTCGAACCATGGGCCCCGGCCCTCTGACTGCAAACAAAGTGTCAAAGCTGTAAAATTCCACTCAGTGCCTTTGGCTACACTGGAGAGAGGGTCAGCCACCGGCCCTCTGTCCTGCACCAACGATGGGGCTCCAGCAGCTCCCACCTCCGCACACTCACCTGGAGGAGCGGCTTGTCCTGCATCCACATGCAGTAAAACAGTCCCTTCCAGACCTTCAGCAGCTCGTCGTGAGTGAAACCACCTGCGGCGGCACCAGCAACACTCAGGCAAAGCGCACCCAACTGTCAGGGCCACACTACACCAGGGACGCGGAGCCGGCCTTAGCTCAGTGCTCCACCGGGAAGCACACCGCCCCCCCCCCCCAACTCCCTGGGGCTCCAGGTCCCCCCCGACAGGGCCGTCTCATGATTCAGCAAACACCCCGAGTATCCGGATCCAGGGCCCCAGGTGCCCAAGCGGACGCTGGACACGGCGTGGTCTCCTGCGTACAACTCGTTCAGCTTGACGCGCTGGGGCTCGTGCCTTGTCCGCGTTTGCCTCCAACTCCGAAGGGGAAACTTAACTCCCGCAAACGGTAAGGCGCGCGGGCATACAAGGGCACCGGGCGCACTAACGGAGGCCCGAGGTGCGCGCGGCGGGGGCTTCTGCGGCGGCGGTTCGCGGACTTCAGCACCAGGAGGGAAGCCTGCGGGGGGCTCCTCCCGCCGGGCTGGGGCGACCGCCAGCGCTTCAGACTCAGGCGGCGGATGGGGCTCACGACTGCGCTGCTAACGGACGCCGCTCGCGGGGCCGCCCTGTCGGGGCCGCGTCCGAGCGTCCCGTCCACCGGAGGCTGCGCTCGGCCCGGCGGGATCCGCCGCCGCCCGACTCGGACCGCCACCCGGAAGTGCAGGAGGCCGCTCCGAGAGCGCAAACGGCGGGCAGCGGCGCAGGCGGGATCCGGGGTCCCGGGAGGCCGCCGGCTCCGCGGCGCCGGGCGGGGACGCGGCGCCAGGGGCTCGCTGGGCAGGAAACCGGGCTGGGACAGGCTCCCCCGCAGGCCCAGCGCGCGCGGCCCTGGCCACATGCGCGGCGCACGTGGTTCCCAGGCTCCCGCGCCCCCGCCCCCTTCCGGCCGCCCCGCGCCCCCCGCCCCGCGGCCCCCGCCCGGCCCGGGCCCACCCAGCCCCGCGCCAACCTGCGGCCCGCTGAGTCCTGGCGACGATGTACTTCCGGAGCCTCTTCACCGCCCGGTCCCGGGTCACCTGCTCGTTTCCCGCCAGGCGCTGGGCCAGCTGGATCTCGGGTGGGAGCTGCACGCGCGGAACCATGGCGAACGCCGCGGACCCCCGGCCCGCCGCCACTCCGTCTTTCCACCCGGGCGCGCGTGCTACGTCACACGACAGCGCCGGTCTCCCGCGGGCGGGCTCGTGACGTCACGGAGCGCGCCGGTTCCGCTCGGGGCTCGTGACGTCCTCTCCGGAGCCGCCTGCACCGCCGCCTAGCGGCCGGGCCGCGCAATACCGGCGTCGCCTGCCGGGCGGGGTGTGGGTTCGCTCGGAAGCTCGGGATTAAAGGGACGCCCTGAAGCGTCCGCGCGCCTGACGGTCACTGGACCGTAGTTCGGCCCGGCCGCTGAGGGCGGCGACAGCCGACAGGCCCCGACGGAGGGGGAAGGGCGGCTGGGCCGGTGCTCCCGGAGGGTCGGACTCGCGCGGCCGGGCCGGGAGGGGCCGGACGAACCCAGTAAAGGCCTCACGGGGAGCCCGGGAGCGCCGGGGAGCGGCTGCGGAGCGAGATCGGCCGGAGTTCGGTTCGGTGCCGGCCCCGGCCTGAACCGCGGACCCTCCGCCGGCAGCCGGACACCGAGAGCTTCCCGGGGAGCGGGACGGGGCCCTACCGCGACGGGCGGGTGGGGCGCGGGCGCGGGCGGCGCGGGAAGGGGACGCGCGGCGGGGACGCGCCCTCGGGCTTCTCCGCGCGGCCGGTGGAGCGTCGGGTCGTAGTCAGTGTCTCGGGGAAGGAAGTGCGATAAGGGGAGCTGGGGGCGCCCGCGGTGATGAAAGGCCACCGGCCACGGGGCAGAGAGGCCTGAAGCCGCGCCTCTGGGTCCGCACGCCCGTGCGGGACAGTTCGCGGGACGGCGGGGGCGGGGCGGGGTGCCACGTCCAGAGCTTGCGGGAACCCGGGCGCGCAGGGAGCGCTGAAAGGTCCCACCGACGACGTGCGGGCTGCAGTGCGGGCAGGTGCGGTTTCCCAGGCTGGAGCAGCGCTGTGTGCGCGCGAGGGGCCAGCAAAGTCGCTCTGCGAAGTGCTGTGTGTCCAGGGACCCCCGTGACCGCCCGTGGGCCCTGATGTGCCAGGGGGACTCCTGCTGTGATCTATTAAAGCAAAAGGAGCACCGGAAACGGCTTGCTGAGTGAGGTGAGGAGGGGCTTCCAGAAGCTTCTCCCGGTGGGATCACAGCATTTTGTGATTTCGCAGCGAGGAGCTGTGACAGGTGTGCGATGCTGTGTAGCCCGGAGCGGGTCAGAGGTCAGCCCCAGGCTTCTACCGAGGGGGATCCTCCGCCTGTCTCGTTCCAAAATTCCAGGCTCCCAGAGGGAGAGCAGGTGTCCCTCACCAGCCTGTGAAAATCAGCCGGGGGACCCTCACCCAGGTGGAGCTGGGAAGCTAGAAGGGGGGCCGCCCGCCCGCGATTACAGGGCAGATGTCAACCCAGGCCCAACGGAAGAGCCCTCCGCAGGAGAGTCCCTGGTGAGGGTCCCTACGGGGAGAGATGCCTCCTGCATCCCCCATGAGACATGGGCCGCCGCTGCAGGCAGCCCAGGAGAAACCGTCACCACCCTGACCTCGTGCTCCTCTCTGGCAGACTAATGTCCACAACGGCCTCTTCCAACTTCCTCCTCCGTCCCCAGAAAACAAAACTTCGCGCCTTGGCCGGACTGGCCGATGGTTTTCGGTAGCTCGCTCGTTTCCAGACACAATGCTCTGCTGTTCCCGAATAATCCCCTTTTAGCTGGCAAAATAACTTTATTTTTAAGGTCCACAAGCCACACTGTTTGTGCAAGTGGTTTCTAAAACCAGTTTCTAAAATGCTTCCCAACTTTGTCATGAAAATCTCCAAACACAGACAAAATAGGAAAAACAGGGCAACACCTGTGTTCTTGCCCCTGGCGTCCACCTTTGCTAATATTTCACGAGACTTTACCAAAATAACAAAATGCACCAACATGCGCTTTAAAATGTGCCTTACGGTGTGAACAGCTGTTGGATGCTGGCGGCTAATGGGAGATTAGCATTACATCTGGTGGACCTAAAAAATAATGTGCGGGTGCCTGGGTGGCTCCGTCGGTTAAGCGTCCCAACTTTTGACTTCGGCTCAGGTCGTGATCTCAGGGATGTGGGATCGAGCCCCGTGTCAGGCTCCACACTCAGCGGGGGGTCTGCTCGAGCTTCCCGGTCCCTCTGCTCCTCCCCACACTGGCATGGGTGCTCTCTCTGGCTCTCACGCTCTTTCTCAAAATAGATCTTTTTTAAAATGAATGAATGTGCTCTATTCTGACTGCAAAGTTCTCCCTCTTTTGAAACTTGTCAAAGTCTGCTGTGCACTGCAGGCAAGGACCTGCCATGGATGCTAAAATTGGGGGCAAAAGTGTGATAGGAAATACGGTATTTGCATAGTCTCAAAGGTACTTAGTGGTTACAGTAGGACATAGTCACTCTCAAGTGGAAAACCTGGAAGACACCACTCTATTCAAGACGGAAGTCACCGTCCCCCGTGAGAAGACACGCGGATACCAGGTACCCTTGATGCAGAGCACTGAGAGGACACAGCGTCACTGTGGTGAGAAAAAAGCACACAGCATCTCCGAGGGCCCCAGAGACACGGGCAGCCGGTTTAGATTTCCAAGTCGGCATGACCGTACGGAAACTGAACCAGAAACCTGACTCATGGCCCAACACCCCACGCATCCAAGGTGCACCTGCTTTGTGAACGACTGAGCTGAAGGGAAACCATCTTGCCCTAGAGATTCCACAAGATGCAAATAAAAAAGCACATAACCCTGCAAAAGCTATTCATTCTCCAGAGTGTAACTTGGGCTCAAAGAAAACTCTTTCTGACTTTGATTCTCAAAGTTGGCTCATTTTGCATCAATAGTTTTCTTCCTGACCCCAAACCACAACATCAACCCGATCAGGAGGAAACCCCCCCCCCAGCCCCAAAGAGAACCGGTCCTCAAAAAACGGTGATCTATACTCTTTAAAGGGATCAAGGTCCTGAAAAACAAAGGCTGAGAGACAGACTGCACAGCCGTGTGGGAGAGGCGGGACCAGAAAGATGACTTTACTGAGACAATGGTGAGTGAGTCAGTCCTGTGGGTCAGCGCGTGTGTTATAAAGCAAGATTCACTTCTTGCTTCTGAAAACTGCTGTCTCTGCTCCGTATAGTGCCAACATCTGGGAAAAGTTTGCGCAAACTGTGCTATCTTTGGAACCTAAACTTATCTCAGAATAAAAAGTTTTAAGTGCTAGAAAAGAAAAAAAAAAAGCCAGCCAGGAACGTGGGGAATGGATGTCTTCATCTCGTACACACATCACCCCGTCACGTCTGCCCCACAGAGGCGAAGCCGGGTGTGTCTGTCCGACCACACCCAGGACTGTGTCCGGTGCTGACGGTGTGGAGGACAGCTGTGAACAGCTCAGTAGGTACAAATCAGGAACAGAAGTATGCTTATTTACTCCACAGATAATAAGGGCCATTGTATTTCCATACAGTAGCTCATAGAGCCACTTCTCACCCTTGTCCTGCTGTGAAGGCAGAAAAATCCCTGTTTCTGGATCCTGTGTGTTGCTCCCTCCACAGACTCTAGGGGAGGACCCTTCCTGCCTCCCCCAGGCTCCCGACACGCCGTGGGTACAGGTGGCCTCTCAGCCATCTCTGCCTACCCCCTGTCCACTGAGTCTTCACCTGCTGTCCTCTTTGCCTTGCCCTCGGTCTCCCAGTTTTCTTACAAGGGCACCAGCCATTGGATTTAGCCCCCCCCCACCCCATCCCCCTAGTAACCTCTCTTAACTATCCACAGGTGCCAAGACCCTATTTCCAAATTAATGGCTCCTTCCCAGGTTCCAGATGGTCGTGACTTTCAGGAGACACTATGGATCCCACTACCGAAGGGGGGAGGAAGATAAAATCAGTAACGTCTCATGAGTGGTTACTCCGAGCCTCAGACTCTGCATCCGCCTTTAGCAAACCCTAAAACAGTGCTGCAAGGGAGGTATGATTTTTGCCATCTTGTAGGCAAGCAAAGAGGCTCACAGGTTACACTTCCGCCCAGCATGTAGGGGACAAGGCCAAGGACATGCCCCGGCTGATCCACGGTGCTCAGGGGGGTGTGAGTGCCCTCCGCCCTCACCAGGACCACTTCTCGGGTGTCCCCCCAGGGCCCCGAGGCTGTTGCCTGCAGACCTTCTCTCCAGACTCAAACTCACTTGCTCACGGCATGCACGTAGGCTCCTCCCTCATGTTTACGCTCTCAATTTCTCATTATAGAAAATTAGGGAAATAAAATTTAGAGGAAGGAACCAGACGTAGCCTCATGGTCTGAAAGAACAAGATGACGCGCACCTGCTCCTTCTCTGCATCGGATTTTCTGTTAATGACACACTAATGTATTAATATAACTTATTAATTATATTCATTACACTCTATTGACAGTTTTGAAGCTGCTTTTCAATAACATACCTAGCATTTTCCCACGGTATCATTAACTTCTCAAGAACATGCAGTATTCCAAAATAAGACAACTCTTGTTTCTAAAAACAAAAAGTTGTTTAATAAAGCTTTGGAAAAATACAGAAAATCACATGAAGGAAAGTTATTAAATGCCTCTGTCCCACCATCCGAGGTGGCTATTGGAAACAGCTCAGTGAACACCACCAATTCCGGGGCCGCTGGGCCCCACTGCGCTCCCGAGAACCCGACTCTCCAGGGGAAGCCTGCAGAATGGCAGTTTCAACAGGCAGCTGGGCGAGCAGACAGCAGGGAAATAAAACACCCTTCGAGAAGCCCTTCCTCCCAAGGCACAGCCCGTTGTTACGGGTGGGACTGGGATGTGCTTCTAAATTCCAGGATGGAGATGTTTATAAATTTTCTCTGCATCCAAGAATTTTCCTTAATTCCTCACACTGATTTCTCCAACTGTGGTTTTATTTGTGATTTACGGAAGTATACAAGAATCAAGTATTTACTTAGTTCCTCCTGTGTGACAGGTGCAACGGCGAAGACCGGACCCACTGTTGCCCGTCTGCCTGCAAGGACACAGACGTGGAGCAGACGTGGAGAGAACCACTGGGGTGCCCAGGGCAGGTGCATCAGGTATACCCCGAGAGTCAGCTGCCCCCTACCACCTGGGGCCTAACCTTGCCCTTGACTCTGCTGAGGCTTCTCCGCTTAGGAAACCCTTGGCCTGCATTAGTTGACAACAAGGGCCTTTTAAGATTCTACGTCTGTTCCCTCCTTTGACTTGTCCCAATTTCTGCAGGTCCCTCCACCCCTCCCGAGGGGCTCAGAGCTTCCTCGGCTGGCGCTGGCTCCCTTCGAGGGCCCGGCTCAGAGGTAAAGCCACGGTGCACTCGCTCTGCAGCAACCACAGGTAGCCAGGCCTGGGATGCACCCTAACGCGGGAGGCAGGATGCCGGTGCGCCCGCATGGGACACCTGGTTTGGGGTTTTCCCTCACTGTTACTTCCCTTGCTAGTGACGACGGACTGGTGACTGGTAACTGCTTCATTGTGTAAATCTTCCATCTTTCCTTTTCATTGTGTTTTCCTTTCCTTTTTTTTTTTTTTTAAGATTTTATTTATTTATTTGACAGAGATCACAAGTAGGCAGAGAGGCAGGCAGAGAGAGAGGGGGAAGTGACTCCCCACTCAGCAGAGACCTTGATGCAGGGCTCGATCCCAGGACCCTGAGATCATGACCTGAGCAGAAGGCAGACACTTAACCCACTGAGCCACCCAGGCGCTCCTCTTTTCTTTCTTTCTTTTTTTTTTTTAAGGGTTTCTTGGGCTGGTATTTAATTACCAACGCATTCCGATGACGATTTTTTGCATGCAGGAACACAAGCACAGACAGACTAGCTCTGGGAGCAGGTGTGGGTCACCAATGAGGGAAGAAAGGAGCTGAGTACCTCGCTGCGGAAGAAGGAACCCTTCGACATGGAGGAAAAAGCCCCTTGCCTTCCCCACGCCAAGCAAACCAGACACTGCACAGCTGTGGAGTCACAGATGTCAGGCGCAAGTGTTGTCCAAGGTCTTGGCTCTAAGAGACGTGATACTCGGTCTTTTTCTCTGGCTCCAGCAAGATGAGAACCCGCAGCGTGAAGGAAGGAGAGATAATGCCAGCCTTTTGCAGTGACTTTGGATAGAAAAAGTGAGGCTAATTGTGGGAGAGATTTAAGTTAGTGTACTAATTAGAGATAGCATAGTAATAGCACTATAGCTCGCCCTGGGGCTGGAATGCTGTCCCAAACATGTCGCACTGATTAACTCATTTACTCCTTAAAAAAAAAAAAAAACCAAAACCTCAAAAGCCCTGGAGATTGCCTCCCCGCAGAGAAGGCCAGAGAGAGATGTCCCGCAGCCAGTCCCATGCCGCACAGCCCATAGGAGGGAGGTGTGCCTCTGTGCCCGGCATTTGGCCTCCAAGTCTGCTCTGGGGCTGCTTGCAAACATCTATGTGGTCCCAGACCTGCTGCAGGAGGAAACCGCGGCTGCAGAGAGCAGGATCAGAGACGGACTCCACGGAGGGTCCGTGGCCACACCATGTATGTGGGACCAGAGAACTCTGACCCACAACCTCTACACGACCATCTGGAAGCCACACCGTGGCCCCAGGGCGGGACCCGTCAGGAGTTGGCCGTGACTGCCCACTTCTCTTCCCCTCCTAACTCGGGACAGCCGTCCCTGAAATCAACCCCACAGGATGCCTGGCTTGTGAGCCCGCCCACAGTGTCCATGGAGCTCACCGCACCTTCCTTCTCTTCCGTGACAAAGCTGCCCCCATCCTGGCCTGCTGTGGGTCTTTGCCCATCCCCGGGGCTGCCGGGGGCCAGCTTTGTTCGCTTTCCTTCGGATTCTCTTTGCTTATCCTCCCGGGTGTAGCCTCCTGTCCATAAAATCGCAGCGCGTGAGGACCGGGGTCCAGCAGGGAGAGAGCGTGTCAGACCCAAGGAGGCATGTGTTGTAACATAAAATTTCACTGCGTGAGTTTGAAGGTCTAAGTGGCTTCATGAAACGACCCACTAGTAGACTGGCATCCCCTCCAGCAAGAAGAGAAGAGCTCGGGCAGCTGTACCAAAGGTAGGGATGTTACAGGCGGAAACAGCGCAGGACAATCAGCGAAAGAAAAGATGGTTTCCGGCAAGGTTACCTTTCCTGGTGGGGTGGGGGGAGCAGGGCTCTGAGCCAGCAGATTCCTCCTCTTCTTTGGGGGCAGGGAGAGGGCCCCAGGGACAGGGTACCTCCCTGGGGGCCCCCAAAACATCCTCACGGGCGGTTAGGGCTACACTTGGTAGGGGGAGGTTGGGACTGGGGGGTGGATGTGGTTAGGTTAGCGACAACGTCCTGGCTTGGTGACTTGGCCTAAGTGGCTCCATTCTGGGCCTGATGGTTTTCTTTTTAACACATTGCAAGATGGAGCAAAACCCTCTGGGGAGGACAGAGGGAGGAGGGGAAGGAGAGGGCAGCAAATCCCACTGAGCTGCAGGGAGAATTGCCTTCCCTTCCCCATCGTGACAGTTGTTTTCTGATGGTTTGTTTTCCGTGTAGGGAGGCTCTCCATTTTTATGGAGTCAAACCTGACTCACACATTTGTGCAACTGGGAATGGGTTGTGGGATCTGCCCTTCCCCACTCCTCAGGGCTCAACCACACCTCATCCCTACGGAACTTACAAACTGGGCGCTGCCCTTGCAGGTACCAGAAAATCTTGTCTCCCCATGCACCTGCTCGCTGGGCCCACCAGCAGATAAGGGTGGGCCTACTCCTGCCAAGTCAGCACCCCCTGAGGGGGGGAGGCCAGCATCCAATGAGGGGTCGGCCACAGGTGGCAGGGGTCTGGACCTTTCTAAAAGACCAATTCTGTCTGGACAGCTCCTAGCATGGGCCCTACCCCTGCTCTGAATAAAGTGTGGGACCCTTCCCCTTCCCTGGGTGGTGTGATCTGTCTAATCTTAACCCAAATCCTGTCCTAACCAAGCCCTTTCCAAATGCCCTTGCTCTGACCACTCCTCCCCGAGCCTGGCTGGAAGTCTTGGGAGCCATCTCCTGCCCATCCCCGGACAGATTCGTGTCTCTTCTGTTCACACATGCCAGCCCTCCACCGTGCCACTGGGTCACATGCTGGTGACTAACCTCCAGAACCCACCCCCACCTCCATGTGGGCCGGACCCCAACTGTCCCCTGCAGTGGGGACACTCCGCCCTGACCCGCCAGAGAAGGACGACACCAAAGCTGCAGTGCGGGGACGCCCCTACGGCACGCGACCACTGATCCCCACGTGGTGCGGACAGTGAGGGTCCCCGTGGTCCCCCGCCCGGTGAGCGCCCGAGGGAGAGGACAGCGACGGTCTTTCGCCCCTGCGCACCGCCGCCAGCCCTCGGCCCCGCCCTCGCAAGGCCCCGCCCCCGGCCCCGCCCTCCTTACCCCCCGGCCCTCCGCCGTCGCTCCGGCCCCGCCCTCGGCCCCCATCACTCCGGTCCTCGCCCCGCCTCCGGCTCCGCCCCAGCCCCCGCCCCCGGGCCACGTGACGTCCGCCTTTTTAGCTGAGCGCGCACCTGGGCGCGGGTCGCTGCCCCGCCCGCCGCGCCTGCCCGCGTCCAGCTCGGCTTCCGTCCGCCGCCAGCATGATGTGCGGGGCGCCCACCGCCTCGCAGCCCGCCACGGCCGAGACCCAGGCCATCGCCGACCAGGTAGGCGGGAGCGGGCGGGGCTCCGGCCGGGGCTGCGGGGCCCGCGGTGCCGGCCCGGGGTCGCCTCCGAGAGCGGCAGGTGGCGGCGCGCGGGGGCGCGCGGGCCCGCGGAGGTCGCGTCCGGCGCGCGGAGAAGGCCCGGGACTCCTGGCGGACGCCCCCTCCCCGGGCGCCGGGCACCCCGGCCGGGCTCAGGGGCCTCCGCGTCCGGCCGCCGAGGAGGGCGGTGACTCAGCCCCACGGGACCCGGGGAAATGGGGAATTTGCAGCGACTGCGGGGCGACCCCGCCCGGGCCGCGGCTCCGCGCACTCCCCCGGCCGCCCGCGCCGGAGGGCCCTGCCCTGCCTCGCCGCTCCTGCTTTTCCCGGACAGACGAAGTCCTCCCTCGCCCGCGGAGTGCTGGACGTGTGTCAGGCCGCGGGCCCTAAACTGGTGTGGGGCGCTGGGAAGTGACCGGCGGCAGTGGGGTCGCTGCGAGGGGAACTGCGGCGGCCAGCGCGGCTGCTGACGGGCCGCTACGAGGAGAGAGGCCGCGCCCCGCCTCCTGCACGTCCCTGCTGGCTCCTTAGGGGTGCACCCCGGGACTGACCCCGCTTCCCAAGACGTTGTGTACCTGCCCCGATGAGGAGTGCCCGCCAGTCCTGTCCTGGGGCCTCCCCCGGTCCCCCGAAGGCTGCTACCTGACCTGGGGGCTCTTTCTCGCCGTGGGCACCGGTGTCGGAGCCGCCCTTCTACCGGCAGGGGCGGGCCTGGCCAGCCAGGTAGCGGCATCACCTGTTACCACCGTTGCCAGCAGCCCAGGGCTCTCCTGCCTCCAATCCCCAAGCAGATGAAGGGGAGGTGGGCCCTTCTGTGGGTGTCGCTAACCACCCCCCCACCCCCCACCCCGGCCAGTTTTGTGAGCTGTCTGCAGAGTCCATTCCGTGCAGACGGGGCATGGCACTTGCAGGAAGAAGGGGGCTCCGGGAATTGTTTTCTGCCCCTTAGCGGGGAGCTAAGAGTTGAATGTGTCCCCCCGCTGTAAGGAACATCGGGTTACAGAACGTCTGTGATGGGCGGCACAGGACTCAGTGTGTAGCGTCTCATATGAGAAGTAAGCGGGGTGAGCCCCTCTTGCAGGCGGGAAGCCACTAAGGTTCCCCGTTCTGTGCCCTCCCCAAGGTGAAGGCCCAGCTGGAAGAGCGGGAAAACAAGAAGTTCGCTACCTTTAAGGCCGTGGAGTTCAGGAGCCAAGTGGTCGCTGGAAGGAACTACTTCATCAAGGTGAGTGTCACCACGGGGGGCCAGTGGCCTGGAGGCTGGGAAGCAGGAAGCTGATGACCTGAAGGGATCTGTCCCCCTACCCTGTCCAGAGCCTTAGGCAGTCTGGCCCAGCAGGGACACGTGGGGCCACAGGTCCTGGCTGCCCCTCACTTGCCTCCCCCCAACTTCCGTCTCTCCAGGTTCAAGTTGACGATGATGAGTTTGTGCACCTTCGAGTATTTCAAAGTCTCCCGCATGAAAACAAGCCCTTGGCCTTGTCCAGCTATCAGACCAACAAGGCCAAGCATGACGAGCTGGCGTATTTCTAGCTCCCACACTGAGTGGGGCCCGTCCATGTGTTTCTGTCCACTGTGAACACATCTGGGATCAAAAGCAAATGTCGTTTCTCCATGGGGCCACTTGGGGGGCGGGGGGAGTATCACGCACCTCTCTTGCGTCCCTTTCGTCCCTGACTTTGTCTTCCTGCCTTTTGGCGAGAGAGACAAAGCACTGTCACTGATCTTAATTACTTTAAAAGACGACTTATATTCTCTTTAAATACATATTTTTAAATCTTCATGAACTTATTCCTTTGTTGGGGTGTTTTCTTGGAACTGAAACCATAATCCTATACAGGAGCATCGAGCGGTGAAGGGATGTGTTTCTGTGGTCGTTCGCAAGCCCCAAGCCTGCTGTGGCACAGGAAGCCCTCCTGGGTCACACGCCAGCTGGAGCTCGCTGGACGCCCCTTCCCACTGCAGAGCTGAGCTCAAGGATGGTTGCCCAAGGTCACAGCAAGTGGGCAGAGGACCCAGGAATCTGGGAGACTGTGTTCGAACCACAGCTCCCCGCACTCATGCCTCGACTCCATGCGGTCTCCCCCATAAAATGAAGGGATTTGGGTAGATCTCGTTCCAGAGCATTAGCTCTAGGGCACCTGGACACATTCACACGCTGCCTTCCGCTCTCGCAGAAACACAGATGTGTGTGCAAGAGGCCGTAACCTTCCGGGTAACGCAGGTGGGCGTGCAGGACAGTCGGTCGGCCTCGCTGCGCCCCGGGCCACCTGCAGGGTCTCTCGAGCTCCTGCTCTGAGCTCAGTGTGCTGAGCCCTGGGCCGCCGCACGTCTTGGGTTCTCCAGAGGGTCCCTGCCGTCAAGGACGTCGGTCCTGTGCTCGGTTGGCTCTCTGTCTGCATTTCGTAAATAAAGGCCACGGCATGACCATGTCTGGGAGAAGGAGGGTGTGGTGTCTTGTGTGGCTCAGGTCGTGGCAGAAAATCATCCTTGAGGGTTCAGCTTGGTCTCGGATTCCCAAATCTCTTTGCGTCTGTGGTGTGAGGGGGCCTCTGGGGTCTGGATCTTGGAGGGAAGAGCAGAGCACGGGAGGGTCACACAGTGGGCAGACAGTTCCAACGGTTTGAAGAAGAAAGCCCTAAAACGAGCCAAGTACGTCCTAGTCTCTGTCCTGGATCTGGAAGAATGGGAAGCTTCCCTAACAGGCTCTTACTCTCGGCCGTCGAGCCATTTTGCCCTGAAATGAAGATTGAGCGTATTTCGTAACTCAGCTTGGGGAGGTACTTGGGAGCTGGTTTGGGGGACATGCTGGGCTGGAGCTCCTCCACCTGCCCCACGGCCCCTCAATGTGGGGACCCGCATGGGGCTCCTGTCCGTGTCTCCCTACGACAGGATTTTCCTCCAGTTGTGCCACTCACCCACCAGGTAGCCCTTCCTGCCAGGCTGGTGATGCCCCCCCAACCACGGCCCCTCACTGAGCTCTCCTCCATCACCCCTGAGAGTGCTCCAGGACCAAGAAGCCCACGAGGGACCTGGTCCACAGCTGAGCGTCACAGACCCTGCGCTCAGGTTCCCCAGGTGGGAACAAGTCCCCTGGGCCAGCAGGTGGGCCGCCTTCCCAGCTGCCCAGGAGCTTCCTCTTCTCCGCCCAGAATTCTTGCCAAATGTCACTTTTCCCGAAGCCTGACCCTCCACCCCCCGGATGCACAGGTCAGCACACTCAGCCAGGCCTGGTTCTGCCCCTCCAGGGGTCCCTGGATTCCTCACCAGCTCAGAGGTCCCTAACGGCTCCCAGCACACGGTGCCGGCGGAAACCACAGTCAGCTGACTTAGATCAGGTGCACGCTGGCCTAGAGATAGAGGAGCCAGTAATGGATGTCACTTGGGTGCTGGACACAGTCCTCCGTGCCGCTTGCCTGTCACCACCAGGTGGGGTGTCTAGGAGACTCTCCCTGAGCTGCTTGGAAGTGGAATTCACATGTTTTCTGTCCTTGCAAAAGCAGGCATGTGGCCCCAGCAGACAAGGGCTAGACAAAGAGAATTCTAGAGGAATGTGTGAATTCCTCTACAGTCGGGTCTGGACACAGGCTTTTAATCTAGGACTCCAATTACAAACTTGGAGAACAGATTTGTAACCTATTAAGGGTTAATACTGCTAACGCATAAAGAACTCTTAAAAAAAAGTGGGGAGAAAAGGGGGCACCTGCGTGGCTCAGGGGGTTAAGCCTCTGCCTTCGGCTCAGGTCATGGTCTCAGGGTCCTGGGATCGAGCCCCGCATCGGGCTCTCTGCTCAGCGGGGAGCCTGATCCCCCCCCCCCCCCCCCCCGCCCTCCTCCGCGTTTTTGAGTTCTTTCAAAAAAAATAAAAAAAAAAAAAAAAAGTGGGGAGAAAAGGATGAAAAATCCTATTGTAAAATAATCAAAGACCGGAACACAATCACAACAATTAGAATGTCCATGTAGCAGGTTTTTTTTTTAAAGATTTGAGAGAGAGCGAGAGAGCGAGCCCACAAAAGGAGAGGGAAAGACAGCAGTCCCCTGTGCGGGGACTGGTGACCTCTCGGGACTACACAGGCACACGTCCTTGCAGCTGGCGCTCCCGCTGCACAGTGACCACGAGCAGAGTTGACAGTGGTTGACACCTGGGAGGTGGTTGACAAGTGACCAGAAGATGGAGGAGGGGGACCCTCACCTGGTTCAGGGCTTCCTGTCACTGTACCGTATCCCGTTCACCTCTGCAGGCCCCGGGCCTCCCTCCTGTCCATCCTGACCCACCCTGCCTCTGCTGTGGCAGCTCTGGCAGCGACGTCCAAATCCGTGGGACCAGGGCCTCCAGAGCCCAGGGTGTCCACCCCCCTGGGAGGTGGACTTTGACTGGTTGGAGATGGCAGAGATGGGAGACTTGGAAGCCCAGCGGGCAGCCGGGCCACACCCCCCATGCATCTTCTCTCCCTCTCCCTGCCTTGTCCCTTTTTCTGTCTCACCTGCCAGCCCGGGATGGCACCCCTTTCATACTACTGTAGCTCAAGGGTGGGACCTAGGCTCTTCTCCAGGAACCCAGTCTGGAAAGCTCCAGGGTGGGGCCTGGACTTGAGGCCAGTCTTCCCACCCCCCAGGGGTAGCCAGAACCAGGAATCCTCTCGATGGCTGAGATTTCCCAGCTGTGAGCGGTCTTATGCTAGACCTTCCGTGCAGAGCCTCAGAGAGACGGGTGACTGGGTGAAGACCCAGGTAACCTCGCCCCTATCTCTTTCATAGGACGTGGAGGGCTGACCTGGTTCCTGCCGAGGATGGGCCCGAACCTGTGGATGTTAACTTACTTGGCAAGGGGACGTTCCAGGTGTGATTAAGCTAAGGGTCTTGAGTTGAAGCAGTGACCCCGGGCTCTCTGGGGGGCCCAATGTCACCTTGGGGTCCTTAGAAGAGGGACTGGGGGGCCATACTGCCGGCTGTGATGTGGGGGGCACGCGCCAGGAGTGCAGGCCTGTCTGGAAGCTGGAAACGGCAGAGGGTAGGTTCTCCCCGGAGCCTCCAGGAAGCAGCAGCTGGGCCCACCTAGCTCGACCTGTCCCCTCCCTGCCCCCAGCACGGTGCATGCGCCTGCGTCGCTCTAAACCACGGCAGCCACACACAGTCGTCCACCAGGAGGGCCTTGGGGGCCGACGAAGGGGCCTGGGAGAGTCTGCAGTGGGTTTGACATGAAACGTGAGGCCTTTTGGACACAAAGTGATTCCCCCGTTTGGTCCCACTCTCCTGTGCCTCTCTGGCAGGCGAGGAGCCTGGTGCTCCCGGAGACCACCTGCGGACTTAGTTGCGAAGGTGTGGGTGAATCACGGAGGGAGCGCTGTACCTGCCTGGCCAGTGTGACCAGTGCCGGCCCGACGCAGGGCTGAAGGACCCAGGAGAGGCAGTGACAGGGATCAGTGACTGAAGCCTGTTCTCAGACTCTGGCCTGGAGGGACCGGGGAAAGGAAACCCCACCCTCCCTGACACCCCTGCCCTCCGGCAGGGCTCACAGGCCAGCCCCCAGGGCACAGCGCAGATGGGAGAGGGGACCTGGGCCTCGGCTGGCGGGTCAGGTCCCACAGGCTCATTCCTTGGGGGGGAGGGGGGTCGTGTTCAGCGGGCGGGCTGTACCGGCGGAGCGGCTTCGTGTACTTAACCGGGAGCTCCTGATGGGAACAGAGATCACTGAACAGCACGACCATCACCAGAAAAATTTATTTGTGGGTGATCGTGAGTCCACAGCGCACAGACACGGACTTTACAATGCCGGTGGGGACTTTATAAACACCCACACACGCACAGAAGGCGGGTTGGACACCCCGGGGCTGCCCCCGCCACCACCTGGACCTCAGGGACCCTCCCTCCCTCTCCCGCACGGCCGTCGCAACCAGCCCAGCTAATGCCCCGGAAGGCCCAGCCCAGCCGCGGTCAGGCTCGGAATCAGCACCGCCGTCCTCCTGCCCACCCAGTCCTGCAATCGGCCAAAATCCGGGCTAAACGTCTAACTTGGAGAGGACGCGGCCGAGCCGCCGAGAGCACGCGCACGCACACACACTGCTGTCCTCGGGGGGGCCCCGTGTCGTCCAGGAGGGCCGCACCCAGTCCCAGGAGTGCCACCTGCGCCGGCCGGCAGCGCGACGGTCCCGGGACTCTGTGGGGCGCACGAGGCCGCGGTGTCGCACGTTTCGCTTCCCTCTGTTCTTCGGGACCCGCCGAGGGCTGCGGCCGGGCCCAGCGCCTCTCCCTCCCCGGCCGCGGAACCGGACCTCGGCCTCTCCCTCGCCAGCCGCACTCTCCCTCCCCGCGCGAGCTGGGGCCGCGGAGACAGTGACTGCGGCGGCTCTAAAGCCAGGACCTCGCGCCACAGCTGGGGACAGTGTGGTCAGTGGGGGGGGTCCGGGTCCCCCGAGACGGCCGGCTCTGCGGAGCAGGAGCCCAGGGGATCCGGGCGGCCGGCGCCCTCTGCTCCTCAGCTGGGCCGGGGGACCGGCGGGCCTGCGGGACGCGGAGGGACACAGAAGCGCGCCCTGCCCCGTGCCAGTGTGGGCCGCGGCGGGGGGCTGCACCGGCCCTGGCCCGCCCCCACCCCGGGGCTCTCAGGCCGCCGGGGCTCCGGGCCGGACGCACACAGGGCTCCGGGCCCCGCAGCTTCGGGGCCGCCCGTCCGCCCCGGGAAGAAGCCGTCGGGCCGGAGCCGGAAACGCTCGGGTGGGCCCTGACGTCGGCCCTCGCGTCCAGTCTGCGGCGAGCCCGGGACGCATGCGCACGAGTAGCCCGGCCCCCGAAGGAGCCAAGTCCGGCGCGGGCCGCGGGAGAAGCGCCCCCTAGAGAGCGGGTGAGGTGCGCAAGCGCTGTGGCGGCCCCGGGCCCCGCCCACCCGCCCCCTGCCGGCGGAGGCTGCAGGTGCAGGGCCAGCTTCCGCAGCCGCCGCGGGCTCTGGACACGCGCGGGGGTTCGTGCCGCCTCTCGCCGCAGACGCTGCGCCGCCCGGCGACCGCAGCGCGGACCACACGTGCGCGGACACACGGCCGCTGTGCTCCTGAGCGGCAGGCGTCCAGCCCACCCGCGCCCTGGGGCAGAAAGGAAGGAGATGTCCTGGGGGAGGGAGGGTCGTCCCTCCAGACCCTCCAGACCCAAGCGCGAGGCTTCCGGGCCTGGCGCAGCGGACCCGGCGTCCCAGAGCTGCACCGGCTCCGCAGGGAAGGGGGAGCGCCGAGCTGCGGTGACGGGACGAGGAGGGCGGGACCTGCAGCCTGGCGGCGGGCGGTGAACACGGGGCTCAGCAGCCGCGACCCCCGCGGGCAGTCTGGGGGCCGCATGGATCCCACCCTGAGGCAGAGCCCACACTCTGCCCCGGACCCCCTCTGCCCTCTCAACTTCCTTCCCTGATTTCCCGCCCAGGCAGGTGCTGGGGTGGGGGGTGGGGGGCTCCTGTCAAAACCCCGACCCGCGGGGAGCTGTGCTCGAGGGACGCGGAGCAAGCAGCGGGCAGGACAGAGGAGGACGACAGGGACTGCCAGCTGCTCTGGTGCGGGCACAGAGCGCTCGAAGGCGGCTTCTGAGGCAGGCAGGTGTGGCCCCAAGCTCCGGGCTGGCGGCTCCATCAAAGGCAGGAACAACGAGGGAAAGGCTTGCTCGGGGCGCCAGCCCAGCAGCCGGAATGCTGTCACCTCCTTCGCCGCACATTCCAGCTGGGAGTGGACATCAGGTCAAGCAAGGAGGCAACGGCAGAGTCGGGAGTGGCCTCGAGACACCCAGTGACGCCAGGCCCCACCCACCTGGCCCTGCTCCTGGCCGCCAGCACGCAGCATCACTCTTCCGGGATGACGAGATGGGAGGGGATCGTACACCTGCACCGGGACCGGGCATCACGGTGCGGGCAGCGCACTCTGGCCTCTGGCTGAATGTGGAAATCACCCTCTGCTTAGTCGTCCGGGCGGTTTTGGCAAACCACGCTCAGTCCATCGTAAAGCCGGGCAACATTTTAAAAAACAGGTTTCAACAAGTTTAAGAAGACGACAACGAAGCATCACTTTTACCACCGCTGACATGTATTACAAAAATAATGCAGATTAACACGATCACCTCAGCAGGACTTGGCAATGATCTGAAAATGTTTTTTAAAAAAGGGTATTTTGTAATTGATTTTTAAGGTCTACAGAAGCTTTGAAGAACTACTGAAAACTGTAATCTGGTCATAGGCAGGTGATTTAAGACCAATACATCTCTCATCTTAAAATATATAATTATTACTTCGCGTGTTACTAAACTATGGAAAGTAGAAACAAAGATTAATTCTAATCTGGACCCAACCTGTATAAAAACACCACTAACGACCACGTGCACTTCCGGATGGGAAATCGTAAGCACGACAAGCCGGGGGCTCTGGGTGCACGGAGGATGGAGCCCAGAATCGCACGGGCTCAGCGGCAGCATGGGACACATACACCTTGCTGGGAGCTGGAGGGTTGGACGGTCTCCCACGGAAGCTGACGGAACCGGACACCGTTTCTACAGGAGCCCCGCGCTCTGCAGAGGCTCTCAGGACACCAGGTTCCTGCTGCTGGGTGCCGAGGGCACAAGACACCACCTCTCCCAGTGCTCGGGGCTTCAAAGTCAGAGGGACGGAGGAAGACGCCCAGGACCCCGCCAGAAAGCTGATGAGGGGGCAGGAGGCTTTGTACATATAGTACCAGTGAAGGAAGTCAGGGGGGCACAAAGGCTGAGCCTCTGAAATAAGAGGTGAACAGGCAGACGGACAGTGTTTGCAGGGGGCTCCCCAAGGCCACCGAACAGACCCAGCGAGCCCCTCCAGCCCCCACCATAGCAGTGCGGAGGCTTTTCTGCCATTGCACTGCAGGGACACACACACTCAGGATCCTTCCCATCTTACCCTCGCTCTCGGTATTAAAAAAGAGGGGGAAAAAACCTTCCTTTGCTGGCTGGTGGCGTGGCCGTCTCCCCAGCTCTGCTGGGCAGTGACAGGCAGCCAGGCTCTGCCCCAGGGCTAAGTGGAGCCCAGTCCTCAGAACCAGGACACAGGACAGGGACACATGCCCTGACCCGCGCCCGCCATGGGAGCCGTGAACCACCGAGCCCGCGCACAGCCACCGGGTACTGCTGCGCGAGTGAGGACACTCAGGACGTGGAAGGACAGGGAAAAAGAAAAGCGGATAGAACACGGAGGCCGGCTTTTGTTTCGGGGCGTCCTCACCGGAGTGGAAACACCGCGCCGAGGGGGTGGCAGTGGTTCTGGAGGTCACGGGGAACTGCCGCAGCGGGGGGTGTGGGCCGCAGGACAGGACCTGCCTGTGGGACGTGCGCAAGGGGGCTCCCGGGAGAGGAGGACCTCTGCACCCCCACACACAGAGGGACGGGGGGCTCGGGGGCTGGGAGCTGCGATCGAGGCAGGCCGAGTCTACAGGACGGGCACGCCTCCCTCCTCACAGCTACACCTGGGAGTCCTCAAAATTCTGGGCCAAGTGGGGCCAGACAGGCCACCCCGGCAGCAGACAACCAGCCTGGTGCCCAGGCCTAGGCTGTGGCCTCCGTCAGTGGCTACTGGGAGCCGCTCCTCTGGCACTGTGCCCCAGTCCCTCCCTGGGGTCCAACACCCTCCCCTGCGAGGGCTGGCTTTTCCACCCGCCTCTTGCTTCCCAGCTTCCGGGTGGCACAGAAGGCAGAGGCAGCGGGGAGGGGCAGCTGTCCCCCTCTGCCCTCCTGCACCCATCTCTGCCCTGGCTCCGTGTGCGACACACCTGTTCCCTGCAACAGGGGCAAACACAGTGTATACTCGACCTGCCGTGTCACTGACTAGGGAGCACAACGTGCTAGTGCTCCCACAAGCTGTCCCCAACCCACAGGACCTTTCCTCGTCTCCGTCATGTCAACCTGCAGGTCCCTGGTCCCATGGATGGGCACAACACATGCAGACCACCTGAATGTTTGGGTCCTGGAAAGGTGCCCCCCAGCGTGACCGCACAGTGCCCGTGTGTGCCGGGCCAGCTGGTGTTAAACGGTCCCCATGGGACAACCTTCCCCAGCGACCTCCCCAACAGCTAAGTGACAACCAAGACGCCTGAAGTGGGAGCGGAGAGGGTCGGTCAGAAAGACAACACAGAGATTTGGCAAGACCCTTCCAGGCGCAAATGGTTAAAACCCGAGGGTTCCTCGTGGACACATACAGCCTGGGCTTCCGCAGCCCTAGGATACTTGGGTCGGGACACAAGGCACCCTGAGCCAGGAGAGCCGTGAGGAGCTACGTTCCCCAAATTACAGATTTCTGTGATTGCTTTGTTACTCCTGAAAAGCACGACCAGCACGTTTTCACAATTAAGACCGGTGGATACTGGACACTCATGAAAGAAAAAGAAGACCAAGTTTCAGTCACAGCTCTAAGGCAGACGCTACGTGTTCACAGGATGACAAGGGAGACACCACACGCTGTGCGTTGTGGGGGGCGGCCCAGGGGCCTCACAGCACCGTGGCCTGGACCACGATCTCCGGGTTCTCGATATCCTTTTTGCTCTGGACCATCCTCAGCTCCAGCTGTGCCGGGCTGGGCTTCAGCCCTCCCACTGCCTGGGCTGCGGGACAAAGTGTCAGTGATGGGGACAGAGCAGAAGCTACCCTGGTGTCCCCCCACACCCCACCCGAGCCCTGACAGCCCGCATCGCCCCCTGGAGCTCCCATCCCGAGCTCGCACCCCGCAGGCAGGTCCCTGCCCGAGTGAAGGCGAGTGGTGGCGGTGGCGGCAGGAGCCTAGGGGACCCGCTGCCAGCACCAGAGGGGCGCAGCTGCTGTCCTTCCCGCTCCCTCCCTCTGCTCTCAGTGCCAGCCGCCTCGCGCGCCCACGGGCCTGGCCAGGACATACCTTTTGCACATCTGATGGTTCGCTGCAGGACATGGTGCATGGCAGACACGGTCTTCTCACAGGCCACCTGTGGGCGAGGGGGGTGTGGGACACTCACACAGCCCACGGCTCCCCCACTCCTGTGATGCCCGAGCCCGGATGGGGTCTTCCGTGTCCACAAGCGCTGTCTCCACCCCGAGTCCCCAGGGCACCGGCTTTACCATCACAGGTTCCCCACCCTGGGACGGGTGGTCCCTGGGACAAAGATCCCAGGAGAGTGGGGCAAATGCCACCGCACCGCAATTAACGGCCTCCCTCTGGCTCCTGTGCTCTGGGGAAAGGCAGAGCCTTAGACCTGTTGATACTGCCTGGCGTGCAGTAGGTGCTTAATACCCGTGTTTCCAGAATGAAGTAGGTGTGAAGAACCCACATGGAAAGGAGCTCCCCCCCCCTGAAGCTGGCTAAGGCCATCGCTTGCTGGCATTTCGAAGTCAAAGACTCAGGGCTTAGCGGGAGCTGGGAACGTGAGTGGACGCCCTCCTGCCCAATTCCAGGACCCAGGGTGGCGCTGAGCGTGGATTTGGCTTCAGGCGGCCCAGCAGCAAGGCCTCCACTGGGCACCAGCTGGCCAAGGTGCGCGTACCAGATGGAACGCCCATGGGGCCAACTAAAACAGCGCGTCTGTGCTCACCCTCGTCCCTCGGCGTGTGGGCGGGGGCACCGGTCAGACACAGCATCGTCCCTGCGCCTTGTCGGCAAGAGGGGCTGGGCTCTGCCTCAGCCCCGCGTTTCAGGACTAGGACTGACCGGGAGGGTGCGCGCCCCCCACCCAGGGGAGACAGGCCCCTCCCAACGCCCAGTACAGATGGCTTTGGGGAACCCACGTCCAGATCCCGACCTGAAGCTTCCCCATCGTCCGGCGGCCCCCGCACAGACGAGGCGCTTCCTCTCTCTCAAGCACCCCTCGCTGCTGCCCTCCTGTGCAGGCTTCGGAGGTGGGGGCCCCGCCGCTGTGCCACAGTAGGCAATGGGGCCCCAGCGGCCGGGACGGCCTCGTGCACACTGGGGCCCGCGTCCTACCGGCGAGCAGCAACCGCCCTGCTGCCCAGTGGGGCCTATGCCAGGTGGCTTCACCCCTACACGCTCGCACCTGTGATGTTCACACACGGTGTGGGGAGCGGGGCGAGACGGACACACAGACAACTCCGGGCGAGAAAAGCCTCTTTGCAAGTCTGCTTTGCAGCCCTGTCCCCGGCCCTCCGAGGGGCTCCCAGCCTGAGTCTGTCGAGTGGCTGGACCATGATACTTCAGTGCGAGCGCTGACGGGCTGCTCTCCTGCGAGAGGCTCCTAGTTACACCCTCCCTGAGGCCACACTGACCCCTCCCAGGCCCCGGCTCACCCTCCAGACCCTGTCTGGCTCAGGACGGCCCCGGAGCCACACCGGCCCACTGCAGCGTGGTGTACGCGGTCCCGCTGTCGAAGCCCCCGCGGCGCTCAGACAGTCCCTGCTGGGGGCAGGGAGGGAGCTGGCCCGCTGACCTTGAGGTTGCTGGGGTGTTTGTGTGTCCACGCCAGGAGCATGGCGGCAAAGAGGTCCCCGGTGCCCACAAAGACCGCGTCGACCCTGTGCATCTCCATGCGGATGCGCTCTGTCACCACGGAGCCGTCGGGGTTCCCTGGAGGAGAAGAGCACGGCCCATGGGCTCGCAGACCCTGGGTCAGCAGAGGACCAGCCCCTCGGGTCTGGGAACTGGCCGTCCCCCCTGCCCACTCCTCCCCTGCCAGCGTCCCCTCTCAGGGGCTCACTGGGGCAGATGCCCTGTCCCAAGGAAGGTGGTGGTTACTGGAACCCCCAGCAGCACGGCAGGTGCGGGGGGAGCACGGCTCCTGCGATGAGACATGGGCAGAGCCCGCGGCCAGGGAGCAAGGAGGGTGTCTACAGCCACAGGGACGTGAACTTACTGAAACGGGGGTGTGTGGGGGTGCGGGGGGTACGCTCTCCCACAGACACAGAGGGAGCGGCGAGGAGGCCGTGTGCTCTCTGCGTTGGTGAGTGTGACCCGCCCTGGTGTGTTGCGTTGACGGTGTGCAGGGAACGCAAATCCGGGCGGCATTCGCACGTTCAGTGAGGGACCCATGAGGCCCCGCAGGCCCCCCCCAGGACTCACGAATCCTCTGGCTCCCCAGCGCGATCAGGTAGTCACTGCCCCTCGGGGATGGCAGGTTGGAGCTGGTGATGACCACTGTGTCCGGGCCCATGGCGTGCAGCTCGTCCATGACCTGCCGGGGCACAGGGGTGCCTCAGCACACGTCTCGGGACGAAACCAGTGGGTCAACCAGCGGGTCGCGCTCATCTCAGGGAAGGGGGCTCGTCCCCCGGGGGCGGGGACAGCATGGCTGAGCCGCGGGGACGCCCACCTGCTGCGGGTCAGTGGAGACCTGGGCAGGCTGGGCTCTGTTGCAGGCCCCGATGTGCCGCCCCCCGTGCCCCCCGCGTCAGCGGGCCCCGGATGTGCGAGCCAACACCCTGTGATGAGTCTCCCGGTGCACACGCAGACCCCCGTGCACTCAGACATGACCGCGCCGCATGCACGAGTGCACACTGACTCCCCACATCCAGCCACGTGCACCCTCCTGCTGGCCTCTGCCGACCCTGCCGGGTGCACACGGGTCCCGGCTCAGGGTGCACAGTGAGCCCACAGGAGACGCTGGGGCTGCCGTGCACCGCACTGTGTCTCCGGGCAGATGTGCGGACCCCCGGCCTTGGCCTTGGCAGGTCCCAGTCTCCTGCTCTGGAAACCGCGTCCGTGTGCACTCAGCAGAGCACGAGGCTGCCGGCATGGGACTGGCTGCGGCGTGCAGCGTCTTTGGTGGGGACCAGGGCCACCGAGACAGAGGCCGAGACGGGGCCACAAGATGCTGGATACCCGCAAGGGACGCGTCCCCCACACAGTCACACCCAGAGCACCCCATCGCCCTGACCTCTCAGGACCCCACAGAGGGTGGCTGCGATCTCGGCCCCCGGGTCTGCGGCTCTGTTCCGGCTGCCCCAGGACCCCTGCAGGACCCCCTAGGCACCGCCGCTGTGAGCAGAGCTGGCCACAGGGTCGCCCAGGCCCAGACCCACACTGCAACTGCCGTGCCCAACACAAGGGCCCGTGGGGACTTCACAACACGTCCCGCAGCCCCTGCTGGCCCCCTGGGTGCCCATCGCTCTCGTCCCCAGGGCACTCAGCTGTCCCCTCCCCACCACGCCCTGTGCCCCCGTCCCAAGCCAGCCTCGGGAGGTCTTACCGACAAGGCTTCTTCCTGACTGTGGATCTTTCTGCCACTCAGTAACCTGTGAACAGGTGGGCACAGGTGACACCCTGCTTCTCTGGGTCCTGCCGGAAATGCCCCTGGAGCTGCGGGGGCTGGGTAACGCCTCCCATCCCGCAGCAGCTCGCGCCTGCCGGCCATCACAGACCCGGCCGCCGCGGCCACGTGGCCAAAGACCCGCCGAGAGTAAAATTTACCCCAGCAAGGGACAGCTGCGCAGGCACCTCAGAGGCCCGTGACTGACCGACATCACGGAAAGTCAAAACGCGCAATGCAAACGGCAGGTGACCGACACGGCGCTCTCACCGGGATGGGTGGGCCAGGTCAGGCACCCCAGCCCCCGGGCCCCCACCCACCACTCCTTCAAAAGGCAGCCGCAGAGACGGGGGAACCCACCAAGCTGCACTGTGGCACCGACGAGCGCATGCGGACACCCCACAGCACCAGGCCCCACTCGTTGCCCCCCAGACTGGCTCTTCATCAGGTGGGCCCCACGATCCAAGAGACGGTCGGGAAGCTCGCTACCACGAGGGCCCAACCAGCTCCTTTTAATCCCACCCAGAGACCAGGACGTGGGCTTCGGAGCGCCCGGGTGGTCCCCTGCATCAGCTGGCGAGGGGGGTCTCCGCCCGGGGCCTGTGTCACCCCCACGGGCCCTCAGCTCCTCCCCTCTCCTGCTGCTCAGGAACTCGGCTGGGGGTCAGCATGATCCCAGGACATGCGGTGAAATGACCACCCACTGCTGTTGTCGGGCTGCGGCGCCCTGGGGGTGAATGGCCCATCCCCCCACCCTGGCCAGATCTCTGCTCCGCTCTGAGGCCGGGCCGTCCGAGGAGTGAGGGAGGCTCGGCGGCCGGCCCGGCCAGCCCCACGGGGCGGTGTGCAAGCCGCAGTGGCTCCAGGTTACTCACTCAGCCTCGAACTGGTTGGGGGTTATGATGTCTGCAAGTGGCACGACCTTCTCTTTGTAAACCGGAAGGAGGTCCTCGGGCACGTACTGAAGGGGAGGGCGACAAGGCACACAGGCTGATGCACCCAGGAGGAGGGAGCAGGACCAGAGCGTGTTTGCAGAGGAGCCCCGGGGCCTGGTGGGGGCCCACAACAGGCGCGCTGCACGACGGGCTGACCCCTGCTGTTCCTCCCAGCCCAGGTGTCTTGGGGGCCACAGGCTGATTCTCGCCCGCGGGAATCCACCTCCCTCCCTGGATAGCACCCCCGCCACTGCTCTACATGACATTGAGGGTCGGGAAGCCACGGCTGGTCTGCTGTTACGCAGCTGGGGGGAAGGTATAAAAAGTAGTACTAAGAACACGTATGACACATGGAACTTAATAGGAAATTCAAATCTCAGTGTCCATGCGTGAACTTCTACTAGGAGATGGCCGTGTCTGTTCCTTTGCAAACTGTGGCTTTTTCTTGAAAATTTTACTTTTAAGTCATCTCTACACCCAACATGGGACTCGAACTCATGACCCCAAGATCAAGAGCCGTGCACTCCCCCAGCTGAGCCCGCTGGAGGCCAGTGGCTTTCTCATACGGCGGGGACGTAGGGCCACAGAGATCTGCTCTCCAGTCTTTCATGGGAAACCCCATCCGCCAGCCCTTGCTTCCGGGCAGGAGGACACGAGCCGCGTGCAGGGTCCTGTGTGTGGGCTCCCACGCGTGAGAGGACTAACCATGGAGCCTTGGCCGTTCCATTCGTCGCCCATCACCGGGTCGCACACTGTGGAGACACAGAGGGCATCAGTCAGCAAAACACCTTACCTGGAGGATGAGAGCCCCTCACGTTCCTTTCCGTGTTAAATTTCACGTATGCAGCCAACAGCCTGGAAACACACGGCCTCCTTTCTTCGCTTGCCTTGTCACCTGGCACTGTGTGTTTTGTCGTCCCAGACGACGGAGTGCTCGGATTTCTATCTGACCCTCACCGCGCCTTTTTTGAGAGGGGACGTGGAACGGCACCCCATTCGTCCGCACCCACACCCCGGGAAGGCCCCGCATCCACGACGGAACTGAAAAGAAGACACAGGTGTTGCACAATGTGGGCCCCCGAAACCTGGCTCCTGCTCCCCTGGAGGGGCCCCCACGTCAGGGCACTGGCGTCCCCTCCTGGATGCAGGAAGTGTCCCACACATGGCAGGGCTCTGCAGAGCCCAGGCTGGGCTTGTCTGAATGCCAGGGCGGGAGAGCAGCCCAGACCGTCCATGTCCCTTGGCAGAAGAGGTCTCTGGTTGGCGGACACCCCAGGAGCTGGTGCGGCAGCCAGGGGCTAGGGACCGGCTGGCCGGCATGCACCTCAGCCTCGCCCAATGTCCACCCTCATTAGACAGACCCACCGGGACACCCATACCCTCCGCCGTCCTCTCTAGGCCCAACAGTGGCCACACACACCCCAACCACGTCCAGCCGCTCCAGCCCTCACGTGCGGACACAGATTACCGCCCGTCTGTCACCCACTTCCCACAACTGTCCCCACACAGACGAAGACGTTCTGAACCCTTTCCAGCGCCCTGAAGGCACGCGCCCCTGCACGCCCAGCATGTTCTGAGCTTACAGGCTGGGGGAGGTGGACGGGGAAGGAGGGGTGCCAGGAGGGAGGCCGAGCCCCCCGTCCGAGGGCAGCAGGTGCGACCCGCAGGTTAGAGGAGGTGACGGCCCAGCACGTACCGTACACCAGCTTGGAGTTCTGCTTCTTCAGCTCCCGCACAATGTCCACCACCGAGGCCAGGAAGGACTTGTCCCTCGTGTAACCTTTGGGAGGAAAATCCGGGCCGCACAGAATAGAAGGGTCACGTCAACCGCTCGGGCCCAAGGCAACAGAGCACCCTCAAAACCGCTGTGCTTCACGGAACGGCGGGCGAGGCTCAGACCAAGTGTCCCAACGTCTGCGGTGCCTAAGGGGACACCGGGCATTTCCCAGAAGAAACGCCAAGGGCTACGTGAATGGAAGAGGCCAAGAGTGAGAGGTGGACAGGAACACGTCCCTCCTGTCGTGTTTCCCGAGTTCGAGCAGAAGCACGTCACGTCTGACGACGCAGGGAAATGCACACAGGTCCTTCACCGTAAACTTGACTAAGGAACCAAAGCTGGGTGGGGGGGCAGGACGCGGCAGACCTGGTGTTTGCACCCCACCCCTCCCCAACACCCTGCAGCCCTGCTGCGGGGGACCGGCGGTCACCAGGATGGCCAGCTCACCTGTCCTGGAGGGAGGTGGACCGGGGACTCACCCGTGAGCACGTAGTCATACTTGTTCACGCCGTTCAGCTGCAGACCCTCGTAGAGCTCGTGCAGCTCATCGGAGTTCAGCACTTGACCCTTCCAGTGTGCGTAGCCTGTGGGGAGAGTGCGACATTCAGCCCTTTTACCGAGTCCCGGGAGGTCCCCTAGCAAACTGCCAGGTCTGGGGGTGGTCCCGGGGGCCCCCAGCACACTGTGGCTATCCTTAACCCCTAGGAATGTCCCTCCAACCCTTGAGCTCCCAAAGCCTCCCTCCTCCAAAGCACATCACCCTCCCTCTCCCTGGCGGGGTCTCTGAGACTGGCAGCACCAGCAACCCAGGGGGGTGGCGTGGTGCCATCTGAAAAGCAGATTCTCAGGCCCGGCCCTGCAAGTGAGCCCAGGTTTTCGGGAAGGCTGGCACTCGGTTTAGCAAGGCCCCGGCCGAACCTTAGCCACAGCAAACGTGAGAAACCCGGACCCAGAGGAGGAGCCACCAAAGCAGGCCCCAGGAGCCCCATCTGGCCTGCAGGCTGAGTGAGTCTTTGTGTTCTCACGTGGTTGGGGGGAAATAAAGTAATTTAGACTTGTGAGAATTCCGTGAAATTCCGCTTTCAGTGTCTGTTCGTCAACCTCCAGTTCTGCTGGACCTCGTCGAGCCCCGTCCTTTACACGCGGTCTCTGGCGGCTTTCACAGGGCGCGGGCACAGAAGGGGCCAAGCCTGGTTATTCACCCCCGTGCCGGCTCTACTCCCCAAAACCTGCTCACCCAGGACCGAGCCTCCCCGGCCTCAGGCCATGGCCAGGTCTTTTCTTTTTCTTTAAGATTTTATGTATTTGACAGAGAGCGAGCGAGCACACAAGCAGGAGGAGGGGCAGAGGCAGAGGGAGAAGCAGGCTGGACCCCAGGACCCCAAGATCACGACCTGAGCTGAAGGCAGACGCTTCACCGATGGAACCCCAGGCGGCCCCGGGAGCCCCATTCGTAACAGCCGTGCCCCGTAAACCCGTGCCCCGTAAACCCATGCCCATCAACGAATGGACACGGGAGGCAAGTGTGGTCCGCCCACACCGGGATGGACTGTCACCGGCCACGCACAGGAGTGATGCTCGGGCGCACACGACCACGAGGGCGAGCCTGGAGGACATGCAGCTCAGCGGAAGACGCCATTTAAGGTCGGCTGTCATGTGACCGTTTATCCGGAATCTTCAGAACGAGCAAACCGCAGAGACAGAGGTGAGCGGTCCAGCACCCAGGAGGAGGGCCAGGGGGAGGTCGGGGAGCTGCTGTGCTGCGGGTCCCAGCGGGGCAGGGAAGGCGCTCCCCCTGTGGGTGTGCGGGCAACCTGCAATCCCACGCTCCACCACGTGAACCCGCTCGACGGCACATAGATGTGCTAAGAAAGAGGCTGTTTACAAACGAGAGCTTTATGCCCCGGAGAGTGGGCGGGTGGCAGCTCGCGGGGCAGTGTGCGTGGGGACAGAGCCGCTGGCAGTGCCCCTCCACCGGCCCGACCCTGGGACACAAGCAGTGTGGGCGGCCGTGTTCACAGGCCTCGGCAGTGACCAGGAGCTGCTCAGGGGCCCCATGTGTGAGCCACGGACCCGCTCGTCGAGCAGGGTGCCGAAGGCATGGGGTGGAAATGTCCCGGCCGGTCATGCACAGTGTAAGCCGAGCACCGAGTGCACGGTAGGACCGACGGTGGAGAGGGCACCACAGCGAGGCCCGCCCGGACAGCGGGACAGCGTGGTGCTGGGCTAGGACACTCACGGACGGGGACAGGTGGTGTGGTGACTTTCTCCCCATGTACACGGTACTTGTTCGCCGTGAGTGCCTTGGTTCTCCTTACAGAGAGGCAACGGGGCGCCTGCGGGGCGCGGTCGGTGAAGCGTCAGACTCGTGCTTGGGGCTCAGATCATGATCTCAGGGTCGTGAGATAGAGTCCCGCGTTGGGCTCTGTGCTCAGTGGGGAGTCTACTTGGGATTCTCTCCCTCCCTCTGCTCACTCTCAAATAAATAAATAAAATCTTCTTTAAAAAATTTAAAAAATTTTAAATAAAAAGGTAAAAATGGGGGCACCCAGGGGGTTCAGTCAATTGAGAATGCGACTCTTGACTTCAGCTCAGGTCATGGTCTCTGGGCTGGGAGGTTGAACTCCGGGCTGGGCTTTGTGCGCAGCAGGGAGTCTGCTTGTCTCTCTCTCTCTCTCTGCCCCCCCCCTGCTTGTGCTCTCTCTCAAATACATACATAAAATCTTAAAAAAAAAATAAGGGGCACCTGGGTTGCTCTGTGGGTTAAAGCCTCTGCCTTCGGCTCAGGTCATGATCTCAGGGTCCTGGGATCGAGCCCCACATCAGGCTCTCTGCTCAGCGGGGAGCCTGCTTCCCCCTCTCTCTCTGCCTGCCTCTCTTCCTGCTTGTGATCTCTGTCAAATAAGTAAATAAAATCTTAAAAAGCAACAAGATTCTCTCTCCTCTCCTCCTGCCCTGCTCCCTGACTTTGCACACACACTCTTCATCTGTCTTTTAAAAAAAAAAAGAGACAGAGAGAGGGGGAGGGGAACAAAGGACCCTAAATATTTCTGGGTCCAAAGCCTTGGGCTGAACCCCTGGGACTCAGGATCCGGCTGCACAGGCTACCCTGTCGAGTCCAAGCTGGGGGTGCTTGGGGTCCCTGCCGCCTGGGAGCTGCCCGACAGGTCCCCTCACCAGGTGGGTCCGCCCGGCACCTGGAGGCCGGAGTGGGGGCCCTGCCACGAGCCCCTGCACCTGCGGGTCCACGCACTCGGGGTGTGTCTTCAACCCCCTCTTCTGGGGCGGGTCAGAGGCCCCTCGCGATGGTCAGTCCAGCACCGAGGAGGTTCTGGGAGCCCAGGAGGAAGCGCGCTACCGAAGGCCCCAGAAGCCCCTCCCGCACCCGGGGATCTGGGCAGAAGCGGCGGAGTCTTGGCTTCTACCGAACTGAGGTGAATGATGGCGCCATGTGATGTTTGCAACGAATTTAATTCCGGCACTGAGTGGCTCAGCCAGTCTGGCTCATTTACTTAGACAGAAAGGCAGGTGGTTAGAATAGTCAGAACCTGTGGGACTCGGGGAAGTTCGCTGAATCGACTTAAACTTCTTGGGGCTTCTCCAAATTTCACAGCACCCGGAACGCGTGGCAAAGCAAGTCAGGGAAGGGCCTTTGGTGAGAACTTTCTTCTGAATCCCAAACGTCTCCCCCCCCGGTCCACGGCTCACGGCACCCCGTCCCTTCTGAGAAAAACTGCACCAGGAGCGGCACAGCCTACCTTTCCTGGCGTGTGGGCTGGGGCCCAGGCACCCACCCGCACACCGGTAGGCACTCCGCCAGCCTGAATCTAGACTGTCTTGCCGCTGGTTCCATCTGGGTTCAGAGTCACTGCAGGAGGGGCGATGCTGGGATGTTTCCAGGAGGGCAGTGGCCTCACGCCCCTGCCTCTATGGCACCGTGGGGTCACATGGCAGGCGGCCCCCGGGGCCATGGGGTCAGCTGGTGGGGGAGTGGGCTCAGGAACCTTGTCCCCACGACCCGGGGCCTCTCTGAGGGCGGTGTCCCTCACATGTCCTTGAGTCAGCAGTTCTGTTTCAAAGCCTCTGTGCACAGGAGTCACTGTGTCCCCTGTGCTCAGACAGGCGACACCACGCAAGTTCCCAAGGTGCTGGTTTCAAACAGAGAAAATCTGGATCCGCTCCGTGCCCCCGAGGGGCATGTGCATACATGGGGTCCTGCTCAGGGCCCACGGAGGCACCCAGAAGAGGGCTCGGCCAGGCAGCAGGTGCTAGGAACAGGTCCCCATCTCACAGAGGAGACCGGGGTGCCGGGAGGCTCCCCCAACCTGCCCTGGGGCGCTCAGCTTCAAGCAGCCAGGCCAAGACTCAAATGCGGTGTCTGCACCCACGGCCAGGCTACACCCCAGCCCCCTGCACCCCGCATGTGCTGGGTGGCCCCCCGACTCCAGCTCCTGACCGTCAGGCGAGCAGTGGGGTCCCCAGATTTCTCATGGCCCTTTCCCGTGCCCCCCTTTCCCCGCTTTCAGTGACTCTCGGGCCAACAGCGCCTTACCTGTGTGGTTGGAAAACTGGACGGAGTTCAGTGCATCAACCTCAAATCCCAAAACCTGCAAGACAAAAAAGGACCGGCTGTGGGAGAGCCAGGGCGCTGGGGGCAGGCAGGAGGCTCCCTGCAGCTGGGCTCGAGGCGCGGACTTTGGGAGCCCTTGCTGGCGAGGGGCCGCAGCTGGGAATACGTGGGGGCACCATTACCCGGAGCGCTTAGCCTCTGGAAATCCTGCTGAGTGAAAATGCCCAAAAGTGCGCGACAGCGAGGCGTCTGTCTCCAGACACGGAGGGCGGGCTGTGAGGTCCTCTTTGTTTCAGGGATGTGGATTTGAGGCCACCGCCCCTCTGGGGGGGCAGTGCCCAGGGCTCCCCACTGCACAGCACGGCTGGCTGCTCTGTCCCCGGGAGCCTGGCTCTCACGGGCAGGACCACCCGCTGCAAGGGGGCACCTCGGGGCCTGGGGCTGGGTGCGTCCACGGCACAGGGGGCAGGTGACCGCACACAGGCTCCAGGTGCCACGGAGTGAGAAAGGAAGTTTGTACAAAGCAAAAGCTCCTTCTTCAACCAAGGGAAGAAAGGTTACGTCCAAACGGTCTAGATGCCTCCCCAAGCCACTGTGGGGCTGGCGGAGCGGCCAGGAGGGCCGTCTTCCCTTCGGCTCACCTTCCCGTTTCTGCACGTGCAAACTCGCTCAGGGACAAGAGCAGGCGCGCCGCAGAGCCCCCGGGCCACGAGCCACGTCCTCTGTGGGGCCCTTCCCGCAACCCTCGGCCGTCAGAGGGGGTGGGTGTTGGGACACGGCCAGGCCCAGCCCTCGGCCGTCGTGTCCTGCGCCAGCCCCCGGCCTCCTGTGCCTGACCTTCTGGCTGATCGGGGCTGGCACTGCTGCTGACAGACCCAGGCCCAGGCCTGCTGCACGGACCCCGACCGCTCTCGGGGCAGCCCCCGCGTCCCTCCTCGTCCCTCCGCAGAGCCGGCTGCCTGAGGAAGTCTGCCCGGCACGGCACAAAGGCCTCTGGGGCTCGTGGTGAGGGTAAAGCCATGAGGTGAGGCCCAGACACCCAGGACCGAACTGAAGCCTAACGAGTGTGAACAGTGCACCAGGGCCCGGCCGTGACCTCCGGAACCATGGGAACCAGTCAGGTCCCCAGCGGGAGCCGGGGTGGGGCCCCGGGTCCATCAGCACGGGGGAGCCTCACTCGGGTCTTCCTTCTCCCCCCACCCCTGTGTGAATGAGGTGGCCGGGGGGCTTGTCAGGCTCACACTCGGGCTCCAACCACAACCTGTCTGGGGGCCACTTCAAGCTCGAACAGGCTCACGGCCAGCCCTAACCTTGGAGCCATGTGACCCCACGTCAGGACAGCTGTTTAATTCGGATTCTGCTTCTGTTCAGAGTGGGCCTGGGCCCTGGCACCACCACTGTGGGAGGACCCACAGCCGGGACAGGGACGGACCTCACCAGGCCAGAGCAGGAAAACCACGCCCCCCCGCGGGGACGAGTGTGGCACGACCCACCGTCTTGCCTGGAAACCCAGAGGCATGCGCTTACCCAGCAGCAGCACCTGTCTCCCCGTCTCTGCCTGCTTCCCGTCACCCCCGCCGGGTCCTGCCCGGGCCACCAACGTGACCTCTCCAAGTCTCTGTGTCACCCTTTCCTGGGGAAGCACAGCCCTCCTTGACCCTCTCTGTCCCTGCACACAGCTCCCTCCGGGGTTGGCACAAGGCCTGAGCCAGCAGCCCGCACCTGCCTGTGTGAGGCCACCGAGGGGCGGGGCCTGTCAGCCTGGAAGGATCCTATCTCCTCCCCCCCCAGCAGTGTGTTAAATCACAACCACCCCCCTGCGGCCCCAGGGCTCCTCCACCAAGCTGTCCCCCAGCCCTCCAGAACCCAGTGGGTGCAGCATCTCCCCTCTGTCCCCTCCCACTCTGGCTGGGTCTCAGTTCACCTCTAGGGCCGAGGGCGCCCACAGGCTGCTGGGAGTCCCCAACCACACAAGTCACACACAGGCAGAGGGACCCCGGGGAGGCACCAAGAGAAGGGCCAAGACAGGCACCCTGAGGGAGTGTATGACATCCAAGCCCCCTGACCCCAGCGGCTGATGGTGGGGGCGGAGGTAATCCCAGGGGAAGGAGGCCTGGGAACGTTAACACCCCATGAACTGAGTGCACGGGTCCACTGGGTTCACCAGCCCGCTGACCTTTGGACTTTCTCCCTCTCCAACCCCAGGAAAACAAGAACAAAGGAGCCTTTTATGACACTGGTCCACAAGGACAGGACGGTGGACCCAGTGGGTAAGAGATTTCGACAAACTCTGGAGACGCACAGATACTCCACAGGGCACGGGGACACTGAGACCTCAGCTCCCGCAGAGGGGCTGCATGGGGTGGGTCGGCATCCCATGGGATACGGCGGAGGAGGAGACAGCAGGAGGGGTGCAGAGATGAAGGAGAGAGACTGGAGGGTTTGGGGGAGACACAGGGAGAGGAGACACCAAGGGCTGTGGGTGGCTGGTCTCTGGCCATCCCCTCCCTCTCCTGCACACCAGGGACTTCCCAGCCTCTTCCCCTACTCACCCAACACCGCCCACCCCCCTCCAGGTCTCCCCCGAACCTTCAGAGACTGGCCCCACTGCTCTGGTGCTCTGGAGCGGCCTCGGGCAGCTGGGGGAGGCAAGTGGTCATCTGGGTGCTGCTCCCACTCCCGCTGCCCGGGGAGGATCCACGGTCGAGCTCCCTCTGTGGCTGCTCACCGAGCCACACACCTGTGACCTGGGTCTACCGCGCCTCTCTGAAATATTTAAGCATTTGAGCGGGTGTTACCTGAACTCAAAGAAAGAAAATATGAATCAGCGGCCCCGTGAAACTCCACAGTTGATACTGGCCCTCGGCCAGAGTGCCTGCCTGACGAGCAGCCTCCCGGCCCGCCCGCGCAGCTTCAGATCCCGCAGAATTCTCATCAAGGTAACAGACACAGCTCTGAACTGGCCACGACACAAATCCCGAGAACCCTGCCAACTACCCGCTCACTGCTGCCGGCTGTGCAGATAATTAATCCCCTGAAGCCAAAACACTGATCGGAGAACGAAGTCCCTACTTTGCGCTTCAGGACCCGGGCCTGCTTTTCCACTTCAAGAGAGGGACCAGACATGGCTTCTTTTTTTTTTTTTTTTTTTGAAGATTTATTTATTTATTTATTTGACAGACAGAGATCACAAGCAGGCAGAGAGGCAGGCAGAGAGAGAGGAGGAAGCAGGCTCCCCGCTGAGCAGAGAGCCCGATGCGGGGCTCGATCCAAGGACCCTGGGATCATGACCTGAGCTGAAGGCAGCGGCTTAACCCACTGAGCCACCCAGGCGCCCCCAGACATGGCTTCTTACTCAGTGCACATGCTGCGTGCAGGACATGTACCACTGCAGGCATGCCACTGCGCAGGCGCGGACCCACCACGGAGCAAGGCCAGTCCAGGGGGCGTGCACCCATGCAGAGCCCGTCCCCACATGCTCCTGAAGGCCGGCGCCCCTCTTGACTTCCGCGCAGCTGCTTAGGGAAGGTGGCAGGTGTGGCTGCACTCGGAAGGCAGGTTTCCCGCACTTTCTGAGAGCAGGCGGCGCTTGGATACTGGGTGGAAGCTGGCGCGGCCAACAGCGAGGGGCACCCCACGCTTCCCACAAGCTCGCACAGCTCCACGAGGCTCAGACAAGTGGCCTGCACGAGTGCCAGCAGTTTTTCCGGGAAAGCATCCTCTGCGGGTTTCCCGAGTTGGCGGAAATGGGCCCCCATGGAAGCCGTCTGTGAAAGGGAAGTGGCGACCGTGACGTCCAGGACAGCGGGGGACAGTTGTCCCCAGTTAACACCTAGTAAATCTTCTCATTCAGGTCCCCACTCCTGGGCTGGACCTCACTGCACCTGCCACCTCTCCTGCAGCTCCCGCGGAGCCAGACACAGGTCGGTACTTGGTCCAGGAGTCCGGGCCGTGTGTGGACGCCCTGGGAGCCCCTGGGTCCCCCCACCCCCTGGCCACGCTCCCCACCTGCTCCGTGTGCGGCCCACACCCAAATTCCTGACCCGGACAGACTTCACGTGAGTCCCGTTTGGTGGGAGGAGTCCCCTTGTGCCCCATGGGCTCTGCGGAGGGACAGGACCAACCCCCCACTGGTCCGGGACAGCCCTGCCTGTGTGCGTGTTCTGTGCGAGTCACATGGTTCCACGGTGAGCCTGAGAGCCCATGGCCCCTGGGGACACCCCGCACAGCCGCATCTGAGTGTGGGCGGCACCTCGGACGGGGGTCTGTGGCCCCAGGGAGGTCACCCAGGTGAGGCCACTCTCCCTGCAGGCGCCAAGGCAGAAGCAGGTGTCCAGGTTTAGGGGCAGAAGGGCCATTGGCCTCTGGACGGGGTAAGGGGTCCCAGCGCCGGCCGCCTCGGGGCAGGTGCTGAGCAGCAGCTGTGCGAGACCGTCTGCTGTGGGACTGTTACGAAGGCCGGAGTCACAGAACCCACACGAGTTACAAGAAGAACCAATGTAACACCCGCCCAGCCTCAGCCCTCCCTAATGACTTCACCGCCTCTCACTGCGAGCGCCGCTCCCCAGCGGCTGGACTAGGGCGGGATCCCACATAACGGAGGCCACAGCCGCCACACCTCTTCTACCCACAAGGACTGTGTGCAGTCACCACGGCAACGGGCACACACACCGGAACCAGCCTCCTCCACCCCCCCACTTTTTATAACATCTACCAGCACACGAGCAACACGCAGTGAGAAGATGCAAAAGACCCTTCGAGAAAGAAAAAAAGAAAGCCTGGCCACAGGAGAGGGGACTCCCCCCCCGCAGAGTCCCCTCCTCCCAGCACTGCCCAGCCGGTGGCCACCAGCCTCCGTGGGAGGCCAGGAGCCCCGGCCTTCCTGCGTCCACCATCCTGTGTGCCTCAGGACGAGGGCTGACGTGGCCAAAGCCCGGGGCTCAGGCTCCACCAGCAAACCCGCTTCCATCTCAGAAAAAACCCCGGGGCCTCGGCCAAGCAGCCCCCACAACAAAGCCCGCTCCCTTATCGCGCAGC